CTGTCATAAATTACACAAAACACCACACCGATTATAAACATGGGTTTGTCCACAAAACACCACACCGAGATATTATAAACATGGTTCTCCGTGATACTGTCATAAATTACACAAAACACCACACCGTGGGTTTGTCCAGAGAGATTATAAACATGGTTCTCCGTGATACTGTGATAAATTACACAAAACACCACACCGTGGGTTTGTTATAAATTACACAAAATTCCTCCTGACTATCAGTCACTACAACAATATACCCATCTTTTTATTTACTGAATCTAGAACAATATTCGTCGCTATCCCCAACAAAAACAACAAAAACAACCACCACTACAACAATTTTAAAACTCCCCATACGTTTAGCATTGGTTCTATATCTTATCAGTACAAGTAAACATACACAAAATCCACCAAACACGCCAAAACATGCATGCCCATGTCTATTTCGAGGGCTCGTTATTTGCAGTTGAGTCGAACGTCTTATCTGCTTACCCCAATTACTTAAACGACAAAAATATCCCAATATCTCAATTAAAGCTCTTTGTGTATCCCTACACAAATAACGTTTGTCAACCAGACAGGATCCAAAATATTCATGTATTGCTCAACTATCTAAATTCAAAGTTTAAAAGAATTTATAAATGTTAAATCATTTAAAAGATCTTATAGTGAGGAAGCTGCCGCTGTAGGATTCAATCATAGGCATGAAATGGAGAGCTGCGAATACAGAAACCTTTTCAAAACAGCAGATTTGTGATAGTCTAGAAAAAGCTGATTAAAAGTGAAAAAATCATTATGCGATATGTTTGGATGCCATGCCACGGTTCTCTGTGGTCATATAGAGTAGGCAATGTGCCAAGTATGAATAATGGCTCCCTTGATGTGGTAACTGTTGTGTTACTTTAATGTTTATTACAGGAACAATAAAGATAATTTAAAAACCATTTGATACGAAGGAAATGTTCACTTTATGTGCTCCCGAATATATCCAAACAACTAAAGAAACCTAACATAATAATAATCCAAACTATGAACAAGAGAAACATTAACATCAAGATTCCTGAAAAGTACAATAAGAATAAGACATGTGTTCCGAAAAGAAAGCGTCTTCTGCTTCATCGACGACACTAGGCATGCGAGTCCTGATCAATACGAGTAAGTAATGTTATGTTCTCAAATGTGGACAAGAAACAACAAAATACAATACCAACATATCAATATAATGATAATCAAAACTAAAATTCAATAAAACTAGGGCAAAATATGAACAAAAGAATGATTTACACGGAAATTCATGAAAAAATACAAGGAAAATAAGACATAGTGTTTCGGAAGAGTAAGCGTCTTCTACTTCATTGACGACACCCGCCATGAAAACCTTGGTCAATCCAAGTAAGTGATGCCACAAGGTATACAACAACGGAACCAACATGTAAACTAACGAGCCTCATATCGCTCAAAGAAATGGAATATTTCTCAATGAGACCACAAGGGCGACCGCAATAATTTCCTCATGTCTTTCATCAATATGCATCTTTGAAACACTGTGTTACGGGTTTTTCCGTTAGTTGACAATGGGAAATGGGCAATTGGATATCGAATCATCTGCAACATGTAAACACCATTGGTTGGGGAATCCAAGGATTTGCTATCTAGAATTAGGAAATTCATAATAGGAAATTGAAATAATCACGCTTTTCATACAGCATGGTGGGAAGCTGTCCATGTTGGTTTTGTTGTAGGAAAAGATCAAGATAGGCGGCTACTGTAGAAGAATTTGTCATGTCTTTGATTTCCAATTCTGGTGGGTATATACGATGGACGTGGTCTATAAGTTTCTTGTTATTTATAGACAAGACTTCATCAACATATCTGAAGGTGATTTTTAATGACTTTGCAAGGTCATCGTGACCTGTTTTAAATACGTATGAAAACAAAAACAATTCATCCAACAGAGAGGTACAGTTAGTTTCCATAGATATGCCAATAGTCTGTCCGAAGATCTTCCCACCAAACTCGACGAAGATGTTGTCAACCAGAAACTAGATCATATATATGATTTCGTCCTCCATATATTTCTTTTTTGATCTGGGCATATTTTTACGAATTTGTTTTCAGAATAGCTCACAGCCATATATTACCTCTGTTCACATTTCCTTGAAAATAAAGATGCCATAACAAGAGAACTAAACCATTGTTTCAGTCTAGAATAAGGTATGGTGGTGAACAGAGTCTTTTTATAGAAGAAATGTTTTTTAGAAGAGGGCATTGAAGATTGGTCAAAAGCTCTTTTATTAATTCCACTTTTTATATAAACAGTATCACAATAAGACTGTCGCCCTGATTTGCTGGTACTAAGGATGGTGGTTAGTAGTATGACAAACACTTAGTGAACAGATATAAGTGCTAGCAAGAAAGCGTTGTTTATTTGGATTCTTATGTCTTTTAGAAATCCAATATAAACGGGGTAAGTCCGTATCCGCATCATTAAATGATTGTAATACCGAAGCATGATTAGCGAGTATTTTTTCCTTTGAAAAATTGCATTATGTATTGGTGGGGTTTCCTTCATTATCAAGCAGGCCTAATTCTTTTAGTATACAGGAAATGTAATAATGTTTGCAGACAAGGATCGCGTTATTGGATGCCTTATCTGCAACAACAACGGAACCTACAGGCAAACTAACGAACCACGTCAAGCTTCATTTCACACAAGAGCTCCCAATGACGTACTTCCCCACAATTGAATATTCCATTAATGTTGTTCACAATTATTTACATGGCTTTGTAAACTAAATACTAATCACTTATAAATTATCTCTTTTAAGACATTAAGAAAATACGAACATGTGAGTTCAATCACATTCCATAAACCTAGAGAAAAATATGAACAAAAGGAAGATTTACAAGGTATAACGGCACCAACAAGCACACTAATAGGCATCTAATATGTCCAGACTCCTATCGCGCAAAGAAGTAGTATATTTCTCCATGTGACCGTAAATTTTCCCCAGTGTTTTTATCAACCTGCATCATTTAAGACCCTGAGTTACGAGTTTGTCCGCCAGTTGAAGACTTGTTGGACGAAAGTCGTGATAATGGGAACTTGCCCTTGAATATCGAATCAACTGTGACAGGTAAACACCATAGGTTGGGGATGCAGTAATGTTGCTATCCGGAAATGGAAAATTCAAAATAGGGAATTTAAACTCATCACGCTTAACATACAGTTTGGTGGAAAGCTGTTTTCATGTTGGTCTCGTTGTAGGAAATTATATGCGGCTGATGTAGAAGAGTTTGTCGTGTCCTTGATTAAACAGACTTCATTTCGAACGTATGATAACAACATCATACCAATCAAACAACTAATCCCTAAGGGTAAGTTACTTATAGTAGATAAACGTGGTATCTTTTCAGCCGCAGTGAATTCATGAATCAATAAATGTCAGTCTGTATATGATACATGTATAACATATACTTCCCTGTAGAATGGATTACAACACATACATCATCTCATGGGTATGTAAATGACACAGGAAGAAAAACTAGAATACATGTGTTAATAAAAAATAAAATATTATCAAATCTATCTGCTTTTTTTATTCCTGGTAACCCGTTTATTCTTCCTATCCATATTATATTAGCTGATATCATAAGTAATTCTACCAGTTATGTCAATGCTATCGTAATATCTGTAAAACCACTGGTTTTTGTGGGTGTCTTACTTTCTTTGATTATGTGAGTACTCTTCATCAACAAATAAGTAAAAGTTGATTTACTGAGCTTAACCTTCCACGAAATAAGTTTTTTTTCTTCTAAAAGTCACAATAATTTTGCCCCATGAATTATTTAAAACAAGCAGTATCCAAATTTTGTACTTATGTTTTACGTATGTATAATTATCTACTGCTACATAGTCAATAAGCTTAACTTTGGGATCATGTTATAACTACATGCTATTTTATTTAATGAAACACAAAACAATCAGTGACATTTATAAATACACGTTAACATTATTTAGTACGTCAACACAAGTAAAATATCATCGAATTTCACAGTATGTTCCACTTCATGCAATTAAGAGTGTATCAGTAAACATTTAAGATGCGGCTTTATCTATTCTACATAGATATAATTTAACAAGTAGAATGATTTTCCTCTCCACTTTCTATTACATGACAGTTTCCCTTGTTGGCTATTACAGAAGCATGTAGAAGTAGGATAAAGATACGACGTTTTGTTTACGAAACCATCACATGTAAACATAGCATGCAAAATGTACATAATGTTTACGTTCAGAAAAGATACAAATGAATACATTTGTGTTAAATAAAAGATACATAAAAAAGTTGATATGTGTGTGTGTGTGTGTGTGTGTGTGAGTGAGGGTGTGTGTGTGTGTGTTTGTGTGTGTGTCTGACACAACAATGTAATGCCTCTCTGCATTTCTTTGTGTTCAGATACATTTTCGTGAATAGAAAGATACATATTAATACATTGTTCATTGTGTAAATAGATATATTCAGATACATTATACCAGGTCCAAAATCAGAAAAAATACTAATGTTACAACGTATTTATCAACAACAATTCTTTCTTTGTCCTTGTAGAGCATACTCACAGAACATAACAGTGACAGCCTTACTTCCGGTTGGTACCAATCTAATGATTCCATTCAGCATAGTGATATACTACAGTAATCCCTGGCAGGCTTACACGTTTACCAATAGTTATAACAATAGGTTTCAGTGGCGACAGATAAGAATCAGGTGATGGTCCAAAGTCAATATTTCACGGAGGAATTCTAGCCGTAGAAGGTCATATTGATGAAGGCCATGATCTGTACCTATTAATCTGATTTTTATCTCTCCTAACACTATGAATAATTCACACGTGCTGCCAGTTATAATGGAGGGTTGATACAGAGACTAGACATATCAACAAACACTGTCGCACCACTTCTATCCTCATCACGGAACTAACACAACAGCTATACTTACACATTATCAATATGCAGTTCCCTCGTTGATATGCCGCGGCCTTGTGTCGCCCTGCTGTCAGTCTATCGATCCACACAGCACATGTAAATAGCCACACGTAAGTCCCAAAGTCTAAACAAATATCCCTCTTCTGCGTCAGAAAAAAACTAGAATCTTCTCGGCTACATATAATCAGGAACAGCCATTTTGTCTAGAGCGTATTTTCGAGATGAATTGTTTACTGTAGCATGCTTGGGTCAGATGGTTTTATCCTCCACGCTTGCGCGAACTTTGTTTCCATGGTAACACTATGAAATAATTTAGCTCAGCATCTGTACCAAAGCTGGTGTGCCAGAGAGAATACGCATTGAACAGGAACAGTCTTGTTATGAATACAAACCAAGGCAGTTATGTTCACAGCTTATCAGTGGTTTGTAGCTGTAACCATAAAGCCATCATTTCTGAAATTGGTGCTGTCGTTTGCTGCATTATTCATTGTGCTTTGTAGATGGTGCCGTAGACTCTTTTCTATGTTTGATCTTCCAAACGTCACACCTTTCATAGATTAACTGTCTGTGGTACCGTCTGATGTAATATTTTATCTGTTCTGTATACTGTACTAGATCTACCATATTTCAAACGTGTTCTTACCTCTATAGCTGTTATTGCAGTAAGAATCGATTACTTTATGTCGACTAGACAGATATATAGGATTTATATATATATCATTTCCATGTTTTTTCTGTGTTGATGAGATGTCATAATCTTGAGCTTGCCGCTCCTAAAACTCGCCAACCTCATATCTATATGATATCCACAAGATTCCTACTCCGTTTTCAGTTAAATTGTATCCTTCAAACATATCATTGAGGAGAATTGCCATAATGTTTGCAATCAAATTGGTTGTTTGTAGTTTGAGGTAGTTTGTGTCCTGTTTTTGTTTGTTTACTACACGTATCGTAGCTTGTTTACGTACATGTGAACGTTTAATTGTTTTTATTGATATAACATATGTTGCTTCAATAGATTGTACTTCTTGTCTCGTTCTATACACATTTGTGTTATTTCATTCATTTTATGTTTTGTAGATATTAAATGTTGTTGTTATGTGTCCTGGTCTTGTTTTGGACGTTTGCTTTGTTATTTTATTTGCTTCTTTGTCTTGTTCCAGTATTGTCTATATTAGATGTTGTTGATTTTATCCTGTCCTTCGTATTAGTATTCATTAACATGTGTTATTTCCATTCCATAAACATTTGGTCTGCTTCAGTAGAATTATATAGGAGATATAGTGTTGTTTTATTCTTAGTACGTTTCTGTTGTTTCATTCACGCCAGTGTTAATGTGTTTTGTTCATATGTACATATTGGTTATTGTCTTCATCTCACGCTTTGTTAGGTCAAGTTATCATGCCTATTTTCCAGAATTCAACCCTCTTGGTAGTTTGTATTCAGCCACTCGTTGTAACAGTATAAGTCAACCCTCTTGGTAGTTTGTATTCAGCCACTCGTTGTAACAGTATAAGTCAACCCTCTTGGTAGTTTGTATTCAGCCACTCGTTGTAACAGTATAATTCAATCCTCTTGGTAGTTTGTATTCAACCACTCGTTGTGACAATATAATTCAACCCTCTTGGTAGTTTATATTCAGCCACTCTTTGTAACAATTCAATAACAACAAAGCACTTATCTATTGATAAAGGTTTTTTTTTTCAAATCTGATGATAAATCACGATTATATTACAGAATTTTAAACACTTATTTATTAAACTGTTTACCTAATAACAGGCCTAAATCAAGTAACTCATACCCTTTAAACGTATAGAAAAGAACTGTTCTGTAAGAGGTTATGTTGTTATTTTTCTGGGTTGAATGTTTCTTAAATTTTTCACTTGCGTTGCCATTTGTCAAATTATTTCCCAACTCACGCCGGGTAGTTTTTACTATATAATTTTGTTATCATGGTATGTATTAGATTGTCCGTCTTCTGTCAAAAGGCATTTGCGAAATCAGCACATTTTACTCTCCATATGTAATGAACTATCTTTCCTACACCCTTATGATAACAGAAAAGTAAAAGAATCATACTGTTGTCTATAACGATCATCACCTCTTTTTGGTAAAAATTTTGCTTTGCGTAACAATACTAACAACAGGATTCCTCAATCTGTAAACTCTCGCCCGTATCCTCTTTGAAGTAACATGATGCGCCCTCTTCCTTGCCAATGTATTTTGGTATCGGTGATCAGAAGTTAAATGAACGACTTCGAAGCTTTTTGTCCTAGAGCAAGTACAAGAAAGATAACTCGTGTTTAATCAGTGATATTTCGGGAATCAAATAAAAAGAAGGTTAGGTTCCCAGTACCAAAGTGATGAGTAAATATGCTGATAGAGTAAAGAATTCGTTTTGGAATGCAGTATCACTGTCTCCAGTAATTAATATTTTATGTAGATCACGGATAAAACTCATTTCATCACGAATGTACTGACGTTTAATAGTGATATAACAGTCACCTCTGCTTGTTTTCAGATATTTTATAAACCAACTTAATTTAAATTAATGCGTGTAATTATTTCGTTTATATTTTAACTACATTTATATAATTTGCATCACTGAGCATAAAAAGTAAACAAAACAATGACAATAAACTGCTTTAATATGATTTTACGATGAAAACACTAAAGATGTTCACAACTAATATTTGAAGTAAATTGTATCGCTATGACACTATCAGAAACAAATCCAGCAGGACAGTAAAACATAACACACGTGGACAACAACACGTGTATCATTAAACATTACCAGAGTCGAAAACACGTGCCCTGGAATCGTGTGTCTTCTCTAGCCCATCTTCGAGACCTTTTGATCATATCAGGCACTGAAACATTGTAATAGAGACTTGTAAATATCTTGATTATATCTAAAAGCTTCCTCCGTAAAGATAATTGATTAGATGTGATCAATTCCAAAATCTATTTCAAAGTTTAGATATGTTGTGGAAGGCTTTATTTATACATTAATTCTATTAAGTAAACAAAGATCCTGTTTGGTAAGATCAGTAACAAAACCCTTTCAATACATAAATTTGACTTGTCTATTCATTTATATAACATGTGTGACGTCACTATTACGACCTTTCAGTAGACGAGATGAAGTCTACTATCAGGTCAATGTAAAACAGCGTCTGTACACAACTTAAACAAGTTACTCAATATTGATTCATTAATCTAGATGTTCATTCCTTGTTTATTATAAAGTTAGATTTGTTGTAAAGGGAGATGCTTACTGATCAATGTGTGTACGAATGGGAAAAAATGCAAAAAAAAAATAAAAAAAAAAAAATCAATAAAAATGTAACAAAATAATGTTTCTTATTTTTGTAAATTGTTATATATATATTACCTACAATATGATAAAATACAGCAGTTGTTGTTTTAACACGCTAACTTTCTCACATCATCATCACCATCATCATCATCATCATCATCATCATCATGTGTATCACGGGATAGGTAATATATTGAACGTATGTAAAACAGATCCGGAACCAAATTATCTTCAAAATCTCACCATATTTCAGTTTTACGCTAAAATATTACTGCGTAGTTTGTTATTTTAAACATGCAGTGAAAATGAGCCTACATACCAATGATTGTACACCCACACAGACGACTTTATGAAACCCGCACTATAAATGTAACAAAGGGATGATAGTCGTGTCTTTCCTCGAAAGGGACTTTGTCTTTTTGCATTAAAAGACACTTTGTCCAAACTTCCAAATTGGATTTAACCCGATATTTCCAGTCCTGTATAAAAGTAATCGACCAGTAATAAAAGATTAATTTTTACCTTCCGGGTAATTGGAACATCGAGAAATGCAGATTTTCTTTTTACGTTTCACGATAGCAACTTAATCACTCACTACAACAGACACTATTGTTTTGTATTCCCTAATCTTAATATATTTTTCACTAGGAAAAACTTTATTGTACATTCATCGATTTTTCTAAGGCATACCATTCTGTGTTGAGAATCGGTCTGTGGAAAAAGCTTCAAAAAAGCAAAATTACTGGAAAAAATTTCAAAGTTATTTTTAAGTTATACGATAATATCAAATCCTGTGTTAAAAATGGATATGAACAGTCGGATTTGCTCGATTGTGAGATCAGGGTAAAACAGGGCGAAAATTTGTCGCCATTTTTGTTGGCAATTTATTTAAATTATTTATGATGAGTAAAATGTAACTTGTCTTGAAACGATAGACAGACTTAATATTGATGAGATTGGAATGTATCCCAGTCTGTTCATATCTTATATGCTGATGATATCATACTGTTATCAATACTTGGAAGTTAACGATTTACTCAAGAAAAAGTAAAGTTGTCATTTTCTAAAAATAGGAAATGTACAAGAACCCTCCATTTTACATTATGTAAGAAAGAATTAGAAATACTTGAAAGGTATACCTATCTAGGTATTTTATCTAACTTTAACTGTAGCTTTGTTAAAGTAAGGCCAAAGGTTGTTGAACAAGCACTGAAATCAGTTGTAGTCTATAAAAAATAAACGTGTAACTACAAGTTGATGTACAATTGAAAATATTTGATTCAGTAATCCTGCCAGTTCTCCTGTATTCATGGCATTCATCAGAAATATATGGTGGTTTGAAAATATAAATATTATAGAAAAAATCCAAGTGCAATTTTGTAAAAATATATATGTAAGACAAAATCACAGCTAATTCCTTTGTTCACGGTGAACTGGGAGAAGATACCCACCAGACATTGAAATTCAATGTAGAATAATAGTATTCTGGCATAAGCTGATTACCTCTAATAAGTTATCAAGTATTATGTATAAGTTGATGTTTACGTTACAAGAAAATTGAACCATGCCATTTAAATGACTCAAAATGTTCAAGATGTTCTATTCCTAACTGACCTTAATTATGTTTGGTACTATCGATCTACAAGTTCCTTTTCTAAAAATGAAATTAAGACATTAGTGAAAAATAGACTGAAGAGTAAATATATACAGAAATAGTTCGATGCTATTCTTAACTCCCCCAGAGGGCAGACGTATTCAATATTTAAGAAAAAACTTATCAAGAATGATATTTGATTAAGCCTAATACTAAAGATATGAAAATTATGTGCAAGTTTCGTTCTTCAAATATATATTTACCTGTAGAAACAGGACGATGGTTAGATATTTCTCGTCAAGAGGGAACCTGTA